CTCTTTTGCCCCCCCCCCAGCCACTCAACGTCTTTCCTGTAGTGAGGGGCCCAAAACTGGTGCAGCCTCACCAGTGCTGAGTACAGGGGCACGAACACTTCCCTGTTCCTGCTGGCCACAGTATTCCTGATACAAGCCAGGATGCCATTGGCCATGGCCACCTGGGCACGTTGCTGGCTCATATTCCGCCAGCTGTCGACCAACACTCCCAGGTCTTTTTCCACTGGGCAGCTTTCCTGCCACATTACATCTGAGAAGGGCGGGTTTTGTTAAACGCACCATAGAGTGAGCAGCATTGGTAGGAATTGCTGCTTGCTTGTTTTCCTGCACTTTATTGAAGGTGGGCCTGCCCAAGCTTGACTCCTGCAACTCCTTCCTTCCACCTCTGTGTCCTCCAGCACCAGGAAAGCTTGGGCTGTGCCAGGTGGCAGCGCTCAGCCCTTGCCAATGACACGCGCCTCCCTGCTTCCCAGCCCACCAAGTGCCAGCAGGGCTGAGGTCTTACAGATCCTCACCTCCTCAAAAATGCCTCCTTCCCACCTTTTTGTTCCTCACGAACATCAACCTCTTGTTGGAAACCCATGAGGAGGTGGCTGGGTTGTTTTGGGACAAGGGACAAGCTGCCAGTGCTCACTGCCTGTAGCCCTCACAACAGCCACAGGCATCCAGGCTCAGCAGCACGGCCACACAAACAGCAAAGGAGGAAGAAAACGAAGAGGTAAGGGCAAGACGGCAAGCTGTAGTCAGACCCACTGATGACCTGTGAGATCACCGACTCCAAGTCACCAAAATCCATCCCAGGGACTTTGCTCTCAAAGGGTTTTTTTCACACCCCCCACCCACCCGGCCCTGCTGTTATGCAGACCTTTTAGTGCAGATCCTCCCTCTGGGAGCACGCTGACAAGGTGGCTCCTCCTGTTACACTCAGTGTAATGAAAAGCACAAACTTCATGTATTTATGACCCTTTCAGACTGAGGAGCTGCAGCTGAGTGCTCTTGCCTTGGTCAGCTACCACTGACAGTGGCGGAGATAAGAGACGTCTTGAGGCTCACAATAGCCAACATGGTGGAGCCCATTAGCGTCAACGCAGATAGAAAATGCTTCCAGCAACTCAAAGAAAGTGAAGTGCTAAAGACAAAGAGAGGAGGCTTTCCAGATAAAAAAATACACCCCCCCCCAACAAAAAAACCCTCACAAAACAAGCAAAAACAAGCAAAAAAACCCCTAACAAACCCCCAAAACCCCACACAAGCAAAAAGGAGAAGGCTCAGGCTGAAGCTTGTGTGGTTTTTTTATTCATGCTGAATATACACAACCCCCAAGCCCTGCGCACGGCAGTGGACTGTTTGCATGTGAATGCTATTAGGGAAACGGGCAGGATGGCAACTGAAAGCAGAGCAGCTATTCCTGAATCACTTCCCAGGCAAGCTGTAAATCTGAGGCACCAAGCCACCTATCCCGTGCACTGAAGCAGCTCTGAGAGAAGCGCTCCTTCATCCCTTCTTGCTGCCTTGGCACGGCCGGGCTCCTGATGACGCTCCCCCCACCTTGATGAGCGCCCAGATGCCAGCAAGGCCTCTCCCACCAGTGCTTGGCTCACCGGCTCACACCCGCATGCCTTCTGCCTCTGCCATGCCAATGCCAGACCGGACAACCCAGAGCAGAGAGACAGGGAACATGGCAGACCACTGTGAAGCCCAGACACAACCACCAGATGTGTCAAACCAGGCCTGCGTGCCCTGCACAAGACATAGATTTGTAGAGGAGGGCCTGCAAACACCTCGGCTGTCCTGCTACAGAGACCTACCCCAGAGACCCCTTCCCTGCTCCTCACCCCTCACCCATCCCTTGCCCCACAACACCTATCTCAGCAAACCACCATTCCTCTGCTTGTAACAAAATGACTGCAGAACACTTATTTCTGCCAACCCTCAGGTGACAGGACCACTTCACTTGGACACTTCACCAACAACTACTTGACTCACACCTTCTTATGCTTTTTATGCTATTTAAATGAATAATTATGCTTCCTAAAACTGACACTGGCTGTAACCTCTCAACCGTGATGTTGGCTGAGCCATACCAACCTCAGGGGAGGAATCCCTCAGCAAAATACCCAGACCCTTGTGTCCATGCAGCATCTGGAGATGTGGTTCCACATTGAGAGACCCTCAGCAGCCTGACTGGCCGAAAGAAGTCCTCAGTCCACCCACCTCCTTTATCACTGGTCACACTTGCCTTCCCCACCTCCATCTGAAGGTACTTCCTTCAGCCACTGTCTAAACTGTAGCTGTAAGGTGATCCATGGGGGGTTGGTTTGGTTTTTTTCACAGTCAAAAATCCCATGTTGCCAGGCTAAAGTTTGATACTATTTCTCCACCAACAAAGCCAGTTGAAAGGATCCTGTCTTCACCTTCCAGCCTCACTCAAGCCCAAACAACTGTTTTTGGGATGTACCATAAGTGGAATCAGAGAAGTAAATCCAGGTTTTTAAAAGACCCTAAAAACCCAATAAAACAATCTTTTTTTTTCTTAGCTCTAAGATTCCCAGCTTTCTTGAGCCGGAAGAAAAATTCTTTGGACCTAAAGCTGTGCTCAGATGGCACTGTGTGGCTGTCTAACCCTGATGGAGGATTACAGGGCATGATAACCTGTTCACAATTTCTTATTTCCTGTGCAAGAGTTCAGGTTATCCAGGTCCTTCAGACATGCAGCAGAGTCATCAACACATTTTTATTGCAAACAGAATTTCCAAAATGATGAGCTGTTCAACAGGGATGAGAGAGAGAAAAAACCCTCACCTTTCAGAGGTGTTTCATTTCCAGCTCTGATTATCCTTTACAGAGAATGAGAGTTCAGAACTAAAACGCTTCATCTTTGACAGATTTAAAGACAACTATCACAATCCTCTGGCTTCCACTAAGACTCCAGAAGCATGTGTGATATTGTATTGATTTTACATTAATTCTATCTTTCAGGTGTCTGGTCAAGCTTGTTGATTTCTATGTTCATTTTAAAGATAAATACTACCAAGAAGCAATGTTTCCAACAATCACATGTCAGTTATATTTATGGGCTTCTTGTGGGCTCAAGATCTGGGATTGAAGCATCTCTGTAGTATGTACAGATAACAAAAAGAGACTGAGAGAGGGACTCTGAGTATATTCACACAAACTTGTACAACCAGTCACTGTAGGCTTAGGAGGTACCTGGTCAGACAAGTTGTGGTAACTGAGTACGTTACCAGCGGTGTGCTCTCAGCTTCTGCAAAAGCAAAGTTAAACCAGTGAGCTTGTCTGAGCAAACCAGCTTTCCTTTAGGAAAAGCAAGGAACGTGTTAGAGCAATGTGGTTACCTTCAAGGTTCTTTGCGTATCGTCTTATCAACATGTCGTAAGTAAAGACCACCTGCTTGGTATGCATTAGCAAAGCACTGATTCCACAGGAAGTTTCAAGGCTCTCATTGCACTAAGGAAGGGACTTGAAATCTTCCCAGTATTTCCCAACTCACCCACAAATTGAGTGCATTTCATACAACCAAATTCAGTCCAGTACCCATCATCACTTATTAGAAACAGCCACCCAGCAAGGGCCAGGATACGTGGAATAAAAAAATAACTGCTGTGCTTGAAAATTCACCATCTGCTGGGTGTTGGGAGAGGTTAATTATTTAAGCGGCAACCTAATATAAATTTGATGTTGCTCAAATCTCACCAAACCTCCAGTAAATAAATGCAAGCAGCACCAGCCTAGATGCTGAAGACTGGATCTAATTGGTCTCCATGCAAAGGTACCAGATACGCCTTGCAGACTTGCATGCCCAGACTAACTTCCTAACCACCTATTCTTTTCTGTACCCTCCACAGTGGGATAGCTTTGTAACTTAAACATGAAATATGAACCCCCAGCTGTCTATTTTAATATTTATTTTCTGCCCATGCCAATGGAGACCTCATTTGCTGTGCTTTCAAAACAGGCTTTGAAATAAGCAAACGCGATGTATAGCTCTGTGGCATCTACAGCAATCACAACAGCAGAACCAGCTTTTAAGAACTTGGCACAAGTGAGCAAAGATGACAATTTCCAATGAGGCAGTTATCGCTCTACTTGACCAAAACAGATCCACTGACCAAAACTCCCATCACCTGGGGCAGGAAAGCCTGTGCCAGCACCGTGGAACATGTGGTGCCTCTCACACAGCTCCGGGAAGACCAACCAGCTGGAAGACTAGGGTGCTGAGGGGTGAAAAAAAGCTTTCTGAATGACCACATACAAACCCACATCCCGCTGATTTTACCTTTCAGCAGGGACCGACAAGACATGAAAACAACTGCATTTTCAAAACGTATCACGTCTTTATTTTATACACACACACACGTAGGCATCTCAACAGCACATCATGGATCATGAAGCTGTAAGCAACAGCTTCTGTCAAAGCTCCTTGTAACATTGCTGCTACCCAGTTTAATTGCTTAGCACTGGCACCTTCATAAATGACAGGGGTCTTCACGGAACTGAACTGCAGCCAAGCTGACCACCGCAGGAAACAAAAGGCAGATGCATAAATAATTACCTTGGAGTCTCTGTAGAGCTTGGTGTTCAAGCGATATACAGTATTGACAACCGTTTCCTCCTAGGCAAAAAAAAGAAAGAATAATTCACAATTCTGAATTCAATTATGCCACACTATGAGAATATAATAGACAATACACATTACCTCCTGTTTCTTCAAATTTAAAATCATATCCAGAGAAAAATACTTTAGAAAAAGGTTTCCTTCCTGTATTTGAAGTATCTGAGAGTAACTAATACAGTTTTTAAACTTCTTTTTATTATTTTTGTCTGTTTACTACCTTTTGACTTTCAGAGATAAAGAAGTTAGGCTGAGAATTAGGGCATTTTGGCTGAGAATTAGGACATTTTATTCTCACCTATATAATGTTGCCAATAATATGGTTTCATAGACCAAATCAGAATTAAAGGCTCCTATATGTAAAGTTAGGGTAGTTTAGTTTATACCCATGCAGTGACAGTATCTTCAGAGACATTTCTGCAGTTGCTTGGGTTTATATGAGCAGAAGTTCATTGTTACTTAGTACTTGTATTGGTTTGGTATCGAAAGAAAGAGCATCCAAGCATCTCATCTCAGATGAGAGACTTACTAAGAACAGAGAGGTAAAGAGGTTGCAAACTTTCCATTAGCACCAGCCTTGTAACACATTTTAGTTATGGGATAACAGAGTGGCCATGTGGTTGCAATCAATCCTGCAGTGCCTACATAATAAAAATGCTGAACTTCTCAGACGGATTTTCTTTCCATTGCCTAAGTGAAAAAATAAACGAACCTGGTTTGTAAATTTACTTAGCTAGAAGAAAGTACCCTCCCTTCCCTGGATGTTTATTTCAGCTTTAAAGGGTCTTACACCATTAACATTTTAGGGAACTGGCTTGCTATGGTATTGAAAGACTAGTTTAAACCAAAGTTAGAGCATAACTACAGCAAGTGGCTGCAAGAACTTATTTAAAGGACTTTCCAAATTAATTTAGTTAAAACTACTGTCCAACTTCTCAAATAAATTAGGCTGTACAGTGCTAACCAGTAAGATTAGGAAATCTAATTACCGCCAAAGTAAGCAGAAATAGATATAAAGTAGTCTATTTCTAAAGGAATACACCATTTCTTCTACACCATTAATTTTCAGAAGAGACTCAAGTCTCTAAAGCAGCTGATGAAATCAGGGATACTGTCAGGCTATCTGCTCCTTCTGACCACAGAAGGATATTCAATTACTTCATTTTGATGTAAACTCAAATTAAAATTGGTGTAACCACATATTACAACTCAAACTTTTTGCACAAAGACAGAAATACTTTCTTTTCTTGTAAGCATTAACCGGTTGCTTTGCTTGTTCAGCTCCCCCCATCCCCC